TCAACAAATCAGAAAAGTGTACAATGAAGAATATCTTGTGTCTGACTATGTTTGACCAGACGGATAACAAATATTATACTGCATGTTTCAAATAATGAACAGATGCTTTTAAAATGCAGAAAGGTTATTTTAGAATGCAGAAATGACAAGTTATTAATAAAGATGTCATAAATGCGGTTGTGTTTAATTAGATAGTTGAAACATATTTTAAGTAACAACTGTTATTTTTATCTGCAAATCGATTTTGTAGTTCAATAAATTGAAGGTTTATGACATTCGACTGGCTAAGACATTTTTTTTTGTCTGCATATTCACTTCCACTTCGTTAGCTACCACCAGGAGGAAAATTAATTTACGCATTTAAGTGTTGAGTTCTAGAGTTTGAAGGAGCTCCCGTTTAGTGTTAGAAATAATGCTCTCTGCTGCTCAATATGGTATATTAATATCAACATACTGGGAAGCAATATTACGTATTATATTCGTATATATAAAATTATATTCAGGAGCTAAAGTAAGAAAAACAGAATATTAAAAGCTATTTTTATCAATGGCACTCAACTTCCAATCATCACCTGAAGGAATACTCAAGTCAGTTTAGAGAGCAAACTCATCTTCAAGAAGCATGCTGAATACGCTTTCACTAATGCTAACTTGTCTTATATGCCTTTTAAAACCTGCTTGGCATGGAATCAAAAACTAACTTTAAGAGCAGAATTACTCTCGATATCTCTCTGATAAGTCAATGCTTACATATGCCGCACCAGCTTGGGCCATTGCTCTCAAGACGCAACGAAAAAATTATATCATTTAAAGAAGAAGCTGCTAAAAAACATGATTAATGATCCATGATTTGGGCACATTAGGTATTATTTTCTAAACAAATTTCACTTGTGTGACTATATTTTAACAAATTGCCTTAATTTGTTTTCAGTACCACTTCAACTTCGGAGTTTCCTGCAAGTGCCGCACTGTCGGACTATGAACCTACAATATTAAATCCTTAGAAGCTTAAGGATAGTGCATCACGATCCTTAGTGGTAAAAGAAAGGTTTATTTTTGTGAATATATGAAGCATCTATATTTCCTCCTTTTTGTGAACTTTCTAGTGAACATTTCAAGCTTTCATACAGATGGAAGACAAAATAATACGAACACTTGTGAACTAATGGAAAATCTTTATTAATAGGGGGTTGGGCCACCCTTTGACTGAAGTACAGATTGAATGCGACGTGGGATAGATGCATAAAGGTCATGGACAATATTTAAATGATTATTAAGCCATTCCTCCTGCAGAGCGGTCTCTAATTCCGGAAGTCCGGATGGAGATGGAAACTGGGAACAAAGTTTGGACTCCAAATATGCCCATAAATGTTCAATAATATTCAAATCCGGCGATTGAGGGGGGCCAAGCGAGATGTCCAATCGCATCGTCATGTTCTTCGAACGATTCTTAAATACACCTAGCAGTTTGGATAGGGGCGTTGGCGTTTTGAAAAAGCGTTCGCTCCACAGGGAATACAGTCTGGACATGATCAACTAGAATGCTTAGATAGTGATTGGATGTGATCCTCCCATGCACAATAACAAGTGGCTCAAGACTGTGCCAAGATATCGTACCCCATACCATAATGGCACCACCCCCTTGCTTTTCACAGTCGGCAAGAGGCAGTCGAGATGAAACGCTTCTTTGGGCATTCTCCAGACATAAACGCGTCCGGTCGTCTGAAATGGGGTGAATGACGATTCATCTGAGCATATTAACTGTTGACACTGCTGTGGGGATCAGCCTTTGTGATCTCTGCACCATTGGCGTCGCTTGAAAGCATTAGTTGCTTTCACCACGGGTTTACGAATTACCACTCTGCCATAAATGTTCGCAGCAGGAAGTTCGCTTTTGACAGTTTTTGTTGAAATGGGGGCCTGGAGTTGCCTTTTTATTTTAAATGTTATGTAGGATAACGATTGCTTGTGCTTTTGGGCTTCTATGCGCTTCAAGACCCGTCTATCCCTATCAGCCAGCTTTGACGTTCGGCCACTGTTGTGCTTTGAAGACGTCGTCTTCCCCTCTTTTGTGTACGCTGTCATAACGGCTGATACCGTACTCCTTACACACCCCACAAGGTTTGCTGTTTCCGTAACCGATGCTCCACTTAAACGCGCTCCAACTATCATTCCTCTTTCGAACTCTGACAGGTCTGACATTTCAACTTTTCACAGGCAGTTCGATCAAAGCATGCGACGCAGCTGACTGCTGTTGAAAAACTGATAGCTTCCTCTTCACGCTCACTAGGTGGCAGACTTCTGTTGCGAGTGGCGTGGCTGTACTGCAGGTGTGAAATGCGTCATACTTTTTCACAGGTGTTCGCATTATTTTGTCCTCCATCTGTACCTTTTATCTTTTTTTGGTGTATGTGTATGTATACGTGTATGGGTGTATTTGCATATCACTCCAAGGGATTAGATTGATTCTTTTCTAGTCATTTGTATATAAGTCATTAACTTTTGTGTTAAGTTAGTATCTATCAGTAACAGTAGTCGGATTAGGACTGTGTATAATCCCAGAGACGTTTCATTGTTTTCTACCCTCCATTGTTCTTCAGCTCTAAAGCATAATTTCGGGCTTTGCGTATAGCAAGGTATTTCGCATATTTTTTACTATTTCTGGCCAAATCTCGCAGATGATATGTCTAGAGTTTGAGCTAAAAAAAACCACATGTGGTTATAAGTTCGGAGAACCAAGTTCTAGGTTTAAAGAAGGTCAGCAGCTATCACTGAATCTCATTTTTTATGGTGTAGGGCTGAGTAGCTCAGTAGGCGTCCTCTTCGTTTTATTTGTTGATCAGGAAAAACTCATTAAGTATTTGCTCTGAGTTTCTTACAAGCTGCAGAGAATTTATTTTCTGTTATTTCTTCTATTAAGTAACAGCCATGTTGACGAGCATATAAAATAATTTATTTTAAACCTTTCCTGTGTTTATTTTATTCTATTTATAAATTAAGATGGAACAATAAGTCTCCTAACTGTACAAACAGTTAAACTAATTATCAATTAGCATAGAGGGAAACCGCAAAGATATGCATAAATTATTTTAAGACTAATTAAAATTTATAGTACTCTTTTTAAAATACCTTATAAAGATATTTAAAAGCATCAGATGAGTTTATGAGTGAAAAATTTCGGCCGGGAATCAAGACAATTCAGACATATAATTTAGAAAAGACAAACTGAAAACGTAAGCGTTCAGCATTAAAAAAAGGTAATTTTTAGATTTTTAAATGAATCGTATTTGTGAAAAAATACGGATTTAAACATTAAACATGAAAATTCTATCTTAATTGTTCATTGGAAAAAAAATAAAATTTCATTCGTAAAATGAAAGCAATTATCCATTTCGGTAGTTAACGGGCTTGATTTAATTAAAGTTCCGAAGCACTATTTTATTTAAAGGAAGGGATGCCTTTGTCGAGGATTTTCGATAGGAAATTGACTCCTTTATGCATTACAGATGGGAGAATCATGGAAACTCATTAGCTAAGTCATTGCTCTAATTTCTATTGCAATCACGCTTTTTTTCAGTTGTTTATTTATTTGTGGATCTAAATGTGTAAACTTTATATAAATGTTATTCAAACAGATGAGTTACCTTAGAATACAAGCGTACCTTTATCTGAAAACTGACATTTATCTCAGATACTGTATGTTAACTGAGTTTATTGCTTTAATATTATACAATCAATTTTCTTTCTCTGAATAAAACTACCTTACCTATACCTATCTTAAAGCCTGCCTGGATTGGACATTGTCTCCTGGAAAACACTATTCTCACAGTTGGCAACACTCATCCTCTCCGCCGGCTACCTGGATTTTCTCCAAGTATTATAGATGGCACCAGTCTAGCTGCTGTCGAGTCTAGCTCCTACAGAGCTAAAGCGCCTCTTCTCGTCTTTCACAATCCAAGACTTCCTGCAAGGTATACATTTCATTCTAAGTCTCCGTAAGGAACTCTGTAATTGCTCCGGTAGTAGTGATTAGACAGCAGATCCACAGAATAACATTTCAGTGTCGTAGTATCTCAAAGCCTGAAATTGCCTAATCTGAGAGCATAAAGCAATTTTTCGAAGAATATTGCCACTCATATTGTTGAATGCTTTTAGAAACATATATCCTGCGATAATCTTTTATGAAAATGCGTTATTCAGAAAATTATATCTTATAAAGCCGTGAAATTAGATATTCGAGGATAAAATAATTTTTTGGAGAGCATTTTCATTCAAATTTTGGAAATTTTGTTAGAGAAATGTATCTTATAATAATCCTTTATGGAAATCTTTAAAAATAATTCTTTAGAATCTTTTATCAGAAATTAAGTTATTTAAATATAGCAAAATGCATGGGTTCCTAAACAAAGGGATACTTTTGTGAGAGGCTTTCTAATAGAAATTGGTCGTATTCACCAAATCCTTTATTCAAAATTATATTTTGTATAAATCCCATTTTAGAAAAATGTACTATCTAGAAAGGTCCAAAATTGCGGGATCAGGAAGTGAAATAGTTTTCTGGAGTACATTTCTATTCAAATTTGTAATATTTGCTTAGAAAAATATATTTTATAATAATCCTATATTAGGAAAGAAATATATATATATATATATATATTCAGATTCTATAATTTGAGAATAAAATAATTTCTTGGAACACAAATCTATTCAAATATGTGATAATTTATATGAAAAATGAAACCTGAAAGGAATGTTTTGAGCGCAATATCAGATGAAAGTTGTTAGATAACAAACTTATCCGTTTAAAAATGATTTTGGCATTTGAAATAAACACATTATGAAATCCAGCAGAAACGAGAATTTTCTCGCTTCACAGATCAGTATAAAACTGATTTATAACTGAATCATTTTGTTTCTTTGACAAAAAAGTACCCTTCACGCGAAGTTCTTCTGATGTCGTTATTTGTTGTGCGTAAAATGCGAGCGATTGTCCATTCAGAAGGGCGCTGCTCCATCGCCGCTCTTGCGGAAGAAAAGAGAGTCAGTCAGTACATGCGCCGCTCGCCGTGCAGTCAGCTGGGTACTCGCTGACTGAAGAGCACGTACAGTAACTTCGGCTACACTTCAGTACATGTGTCGATGCTGGCCGAAATAGTTATGCCGGAAAATCAACATCACTGTGACTCTCAAACACGGATACTAAATTAGACACTCTCATTGAGAAACAGCCATGGATTCATTAAACAGATATTTTTTGGAACGACTGGGAAAGTAGGAAATTTCTGTTTCTTTAAGACCGAAGTTTTTGTATTGTTTTAAAAGCTATTATAACTGGTTTAACACATTAGCTTTCGAAATCAAATGAAATATGTTTCTTAAATTACTTCCTGAATAACTGTACCAATGTTACTTTATTTTTAGTGGTTTATGTATTTTTCAAAACAGTTATTTTCCCTTTTTATCAAATAATTTTACAAATTACTACAAGTACATATCTCCGTTACCAGTGAAATGTATAGTGTGTTTGATAAGTTTGCAGAAGAATGAGAAAAATTATCGAATTATGTTACATGCAAATAAAGGCATAAAATTTTAAGTTGATTTTGAAGAAAATAATACAAACTAATATTATTTGTGCATTTATGGAAATTGAATTGTGAACGGAATGCTATTTCAACAACAACTGAAGCCTGCGCATATCTGCTGGATATTATGCTAAAATTTGGCCCAGAACGTTAAGCAAAGTGAAATACATCACTATTAAGTTTTAAAGTTTAACAAAATTATAAATTTAAATGAAAGTAAAATATAAAGCTTTTATTCCAGCTGTCCAATGACTGACTATACGGTGTAAACAACTCCAATAGTTTTACTGAATAGTTTTACTGAATTCATAATTCTATGCTTTGAGCAAGTGTGACACATATAGAATTGGTTCTGATTGTTTTGGTAGCTAGCAATTCTCAACAAGAATCTCAAGGATGTTTTTAATCAACTAATTAAAACGTTATGGGAAATATTCAACAAAAAGAGATAGATTTATTGGAACTGTACTTGCGAGATCCAGCTTTACGACATAATGTTACTCAGTGTGTCAACGAGACAGAAAACTCTAATTCTAGTGAGGAACAGGCATGGGCCCGATGCTTGGGTGAATTCGTACCTGGGGCTCTTCTAAGCCGGCCCTATCTTTTACCATGGCAGGTGCAGGCTATCTGGGCACTGCTGTTTGGGATTATGATTTCGATAGCTGTGGCTGGCAATGCCATCGTGGTCTGGATCATCTTGGCTCACAGGCGCATGCGAACCATCACCAATCTTTTCTTGCTGAATCTGGCTATAGCGGATTTCCTCCTGGCTAGTGGAAATGCAGCTTTCAACTTTGTGTTCATGCTGGAAAGTCACTGGCCTTTCGGAGAAGTCTTTTGCATCGCGAGCAATTTTCTCGCCAACCTAACAGTTTCGACGTCCGTCTTCACTATCCTCGCCATGAGCATAGACAGGTAAGACTCGGATTTTTTTTTTTTTTTTTTTTTTTTTTTAACGTATTTTAAGCATGGAAATGATTTTTGAAAATGAAAATGTTTTAAAAGTTCTGTAATATTATGTTTAACATAAAATACAGAGTATGAAAGTATATTTCAATTAAAAATTGTTATACCTCCGGAAAATTTTAGTAAAAGAAGATAGATTTTATTTGATCAGCAAGTATGATGCTTGATGTTTTTTCTTGCCCGAACGTAGTCCTAAAGTGATAATGGATCAATATTTTTTTTCCTGGAGAGGCTGGGAGGGGAATTACACTTTTAGAAACTAGTATCACTAGAGCAAGAAGTATATTATCTTTATAGATAGTTGCATGCGATCTACCTTATTTCTCGCGTGATATATGGTTACTTGCCATTTCTTTTGTAATATATAGATAGATATATATTACAAAGAATATATATAATATACATCAAATATATATAATATATATATATATATATATATATATAATTATCAAGCAAAGCAGTAATAACAATTTTTGAAAAACCAATTTTGGTCAAGAAAAAATCTTGCGCAATATGCTGCAAAATAAGTAAAAAATAAAAATTGTAGTAAGCTCGCCTAGCCTTTTTGGCTGCAGTCAATTATTCATGTTTTTTTAACAAAAAACAATATTTCAAAGTAAGGGATCTTATCAGTAACGAAAGTGCTGTTTACTCTTTTACAAGCTTATTTATTGTGTTCCTTAATATAAATTTGGTATGTCTGTCTAAATGCAGGGGTAGCTTTGTGAGGAACATCCAGGAGAAATGGTCTCGAAATTTAAAAGGCAGGAAGCAAACTCTATTATACGCACTTTTTTAATTTCAACAGTTACGACGAAGTACGCAACAGCTAGTACGTAAAGAGAAACGTGATCTCATGGAGGTTGTTCAATGAAAAATTGCCTCGTATTCATTCTACACGTGAGGAAAAACAGAAACTTCCCTCCAGCCACCTTATTCTTTGTGATAATATTGTTGTTGTCGCGCCCATATTACATGGAACAATGGTTGCGAGAGCCTACACCAAAGAGAGGTTGGTCTTCTATTTTCTACCCTAGTTTTGAGGAAGAGCATCAGGAGGGTGGGTCTCCCACTACTCTCCTGTGAGAACAGTAACTTCTCACACTCCGATAAAACCGCATGATAAGACTTTCGGCTCGCCGCATGTTTAGAGTGCTCGCATACTGCGCGGACATTACATTTACAAACATCCATGTCTTCTACGGGTTTCGGCCCACCAGCGGCCGAGCGGTAAAGTCGCTGAACACTGGTAGCTCGGTCCGAGGTTCGAATCCCGCGAACGGGCTGGCTGCATATGCGTTTTCGTGGTTTTCCCCATGTGTAACGTGTATACGAGCCAGTCTTCCTTAAAAAGTCCCCAACGAAGGCATCCCTACCCTTAGGCAGATAGCCCTCGAGGCTTTACCATAATCACACACACCCACACTTCTCCGAGTTTCGAACCCGGGACGTTAGGAAGCGTAGTAGACTTCACAAGCCACTATACTGTTTGGGCGACTATTCTTTGTGATCTCAATTCGAATTAGCAGTGTTCAGCTGCCTTTCCATTCGGCCGCTGGTGTGGATGGTACGCACTTTTAAAGTATTATTTCAATGTATAAACAGACATATGATTTCTTGTGTTCTAAGGCGAAAAGGAATAAACACATATTAGCAAAATAGACAGAAAGTCAATAATGTATCCTATGGAATAGTTTGCAAACAAAGAGGGAATTGCGATTTCAGAGAACATTGTACCAGAGTCGGATCCCTGCGAAAGGGCTCCCTTAATGTGTCTTCTCGATATCTAATGCAGATATGAACAGTATCTCAATCAGAAATATTACATAAAAACCTCTCTTAGGAAGATAGGGATTGTGTGTTTTGTCATAATTAGTTTATAAGGTATTTCTCCCGCCTTCTTAGGATGCCTTCGTGGTGTAGTGGTCACCACACTCGGCGCCTACTCTAGAAGTCCGAGATTCAAGTCCCGGCGAGGGCATTGCTCATTTTTCGGCTCGCTCTCCTGCTTCGAAAAATCCTAATGAATCTACAGTGGCGCCCGAACTATAAAGGTGTTGGATGATGATTCTCCACCTGCAGGATTTGGCGACTGCGTCCCCTAATCCCCAGTCGCCCTTTAAAAAGGGGAGTATATAAGGTATTTAGGTCCCGCCTTCTTAGCATGTCTTCGCGGTGTTATCGTCAGCACGCTCGACGCGTATTCGAGAGCACAAAGGTTCGAATCCCGGCGAGGGCATTGCTCATTTTTCCTATCCCCTGCTTCAAAAAATACGAATGACTCTCCAAGGTAAATAAAATAAATTGCAAGAGTTCTTTTCAAAGCAGATAATGCTTTCTAGAGTAAAGACGCTCTTGTTTTGTTTGACAGAGTTATTTAGTTAGCCTTTGAAAAAAAATAGATTCAGTAAATCCCGACATAACGGCATATGGATTTTCTCTACGTGTGGGATGGGTACGAGCTATGTTTCTTTGAAAAGTCTTCCATGAAAGCCTCCTTCCTCTAAAATAAATTAGATAACAGAGGAAGTCAGATGAAGATAAAATATGAAAAATTGCCCCAAAAAGAAATGCCTTCTATCTCCCGTTGGTGCCTGGTTGAAAAGTCACATTCTTAACAGCGGTAAAGTATTACTGCCGATTTATGGAGACTTGAAAAATAAATTACATATTTTCTATGGAGAAATTTATATTTTTGAAAGCAAATTAACCTTTCGGTAGGTGCAAGACTAAGGAAATCTTTCTTCCAAATACGCTGAGTAGCTATCAGTCGTAAATTTACAATATGAGTTCTTTTCTTCTGCGCCTATAGCGTCGCTTAAGTGGAATGCGAGATGAGCTCGTTATTGGCGATCAAACAATTAAAACAATTAAAGTAAGATCGTTTCCCTGTAGATTTCTGTTAAAATTATATTAATTAAAAGCGCTGCTTTCTTGTGCGAAGTTAAGGAAGTATTGTAATTGCGAAAATTTTTGGGTATCATATTTGGAAAAAAATGCCCATTTTGACCGCTCTCGAATCCATTTGAACGATTTCTCTTGGTGCCATCTGTGCGTACAAACAGGAAAACGGCTTCTTTTTTTTTTCAAAACGGATTGTAAAAAATGATTTAAAATGGATTCAGAAGGGATATTTTTGTGACGTATACACGTACACTGTGAAATAAAAAATGGGACAGTTTTATATCTCCCGTTCTACCGGGACAGTTGTCGAAATTCAAATTGCGTTTTTCATGTCTCATGTCGAGAAGTAAACTTAGGATATATATTAGATTTATATATAACACTGTTCTAATATAGGTGTTTTAACACAAAATCGTACTTTTACTAAGATAACTTGCCAATTGTTTCACATATTTCGATTCTACGACTCAAATTATGCCTAAATATTAAATTTTGTAAAATTTGATTCGAAATTTATTCCAAAATTTATCTTGGCGTATTTTCTTCAGTTTTCGCCATGAATAATTTACTTGCCGAACTTCTTAATTTATAGCAATCTATTTTCCTTTTCTTTTTTCCATTATAGACGAGTGTGTATTATCGTTTGGTGTTATTATCGCTCAAAAAAAAAATATGCCAAATGTGGAATAAAAAATGCTAATTTTAATTGCAAATTTTTTAAATAGTTTTTAAATTTAAGTTTTTCTGTGTAACACGTTTTAAAGAAGGTATTTGACTTTTCATGCATTTTTGCGTTGCCGCGAAGTATGAACTCAATCGGTTGAAGGAGAAATATATCTCAAATGAAAATCGAGGAAGTAAGTTTAAGTGACGTGCAGCAAAAACTACTTATACTTTAGTAGGCGGTATAAGGATCCCATGTTGTGTTCATATGAAATTCAAAATATTTTTTAATATATTTTTATTATTACTATTATAACTTTACATGACGTTTAAATTTGGCAGCATTTTTCCTTGCTGTAAGCCGATAAGTACTCCAGGCCGTGTGTTCGCGAACGACAGAGCGGATAAAGCCAGTTCATACTGGTACTTCGAAACCGGTTCTGATTCTGACCAATGGATTGACTGCACGGTAATTTTATAGTATTTCTTAAGTACATGGTGAGCACAATGAATGAATAATATTTGAGAATTTAATGAAATCTAAAAATGCTGGTCATTGTAACATTCTGAAAATATAGAGGTATTTTTTAATGATTTTTGATGATGGTTCTTCAGATTTTGAGGAAAGTGTTTTAAAAAAGATTCTAAGCAGCCTTTTAATCAATGTATGCAATAACAAATTTTTATGTTTCAAGCGTTTTTATGAAAAATATCATGAATCAATTGCAAATAAATTTGTGGAAATTGTAATGAATCACAATATTATGTTCAATTTTGTTTTATTTATGAAATTTTATTTCATTATTTTATGTGCTATTCAGTTTATTATAGTTTCTTCAAAATATGATAGAAATTTAAAACAGAAGTATAGTTTAACAAGTAACATTTCTCGTCCAGTGATCTGAATTCCAAATTTTGACTTCTAGTTATAAGCGCTGTGTGTTGCCAGCTAAAATATCGGTGCTTGCAGCAGATAAAAAAAAACAAAAAATTATGAATTTTTTAAAACTTTAGACTCGTTCTAAATATTGAATGCTAGACCTTTGTTAAGATATTTAAAAGTCCTCTAGTATTATAGAAAATTTCAATAAAACAGATTGTTCCTTTCTTTATTTTTGAGTATTATTTATATTTTGCTTATCTAAATTATATTTGGAGTACTTTTACAAGTCCAGGATCGATTTAAATGATTTTACCTAAGAATCTTCCCATTTTTACAGAAAGTTGTAACTTGACTGTAAAACATTTTGAATTCATTTCTATTCTAACATATGAAAAAATATCTTTAAATTCTTTTATGTATGCAAACGAAGCCATACCTTACCCAATGCACGTAACTAAAATATTTCCGACTGCTTAACTTTTTAACTTTAGCTAAAGAATTTT